TTGAAATGGTGGATAATGAGCAGATAGGCAATAGAAGTATCTTCTATCTGGTAACGAAGCAATTCTCCTATCAGAAGCCAAACTACCGTGATCTATGGAATGCCTTAAATAAATTGAGGGATACCCTTTTGTCCAAGGACATCATGAACCTGGCGATACCGAAGATTGCTTGTGGACTTGACGGTTTAGACTGGAGAATAATTAGAAGCATGGTGAAAGTTATCTTCAGATTTAGTGGCATACACATTCTTGTCTGTTGCCACAACCCTAAAAGAACAACAGGAAGGAAGACCGTAGACTGCTACTTCTATAGGACGTCACAATACAAGTTTGGATCTCTATGCAAATATCGCCATGGAGCTGAGGACCATTTTCGGGACGAATATGTTTTAAGACGGGGGCAATGTAGCGAGGACGGCTCTGGATCTCGGAATGATGACTCATCGCCGGTGACTCAGCGCTCGAACAATCGAGAGTGTGGAGCTCGCTGGAATGTTCCAGAAGACTTGGGCGCTTAATATATAAGAAACGGAGCAGCACAGAGCAGTCAGTTGAGCTTTGGTACGCGCGAAGAAATAAATAAATATAAGTGCAAATAAATAAACTAGTAGTGATATAAATAATTAGTAGTTAAGTGTTTAGTTAGTTTTATAGTGTTTTAAGTGTAGTTAAGTTAATAAATAAATAGTTTAGTTCGTTAATTAACCAGTGCGTGTTTTAATTCACACTACGAACAGTTAAAAACGTTACAATATTTTAAAAAATTATTATTTTTTTACTGTCAAAATATTTTTAAAATGTTTAATTCTTATTTAAAAAGATTCATCAACATAATCAACTAATAGTCCAAGATCCCAGGGCCGCCAGACCTACGTCATTTTAATACTGCTGAGATTTTTTTAATAAATGCCCTAATATGTAGTTAAAAACGTATGGGTACTTGCTAGCTTGAAAGCGGGGCCCTTTTACAGATAACGGGCACTAAAGGTACATCAAAAAGGTACCTGTCTACGTTAAAGTAATACCGCTGGTTTTCATATATGTTTTACACATTGTTATTAAAAACCAACATTCATTATTGCCAGACGCTTTCCAGGGGACCTAACTTCCGCCAGACGCTTTAAAGCTCAAGAAAAAAGGGCTGAACCTACGTTATAGTAGTACTCCTGAATTTTACATATATTTTTTGAGTGATTATTTTAGGACCTTTTGTAAGCAGCCAGACCAATCCGAGGGGCCCAAGCCCCCCCCAGACGCTTTAAAGGTCAAGAAAAAAGGGGGGAACCTACGTTATAGTAGTACTCCTGAATTTTACATATTTTATTTGGTTGACTATTTTAAGACCTTTTATAAGCAGCCAGACCAATCCGAGGGGCCCAAGCCCCCCCCCAGACGCTTTAAAGGTCAAGAAAAAAGGGGGGAACCTACGTTATAGTAGTACTCCTGAATTTTATATATATTATTTGAGTGACTATTTTCTGATCTTTTGTAAGCAGCCAGATCAATCCGAAGGGCCTAAGCCCCCCCCAGACGCTTTAAAGCTCAATAAAAAATGGAAAAATCTACGTTATAGTAGTACTTTTGAGTTTTACATATTTTATTTGGGTGAGTATATTAACACCTTTTATAAGCAGCCAGACCAATCCGAAGGTCCCAAGCCCTCCCCCCTGGCGGTTTAAAGGCCAAGAAAAAATGGGAGAACCTACGTTATAGTAAAACTTCTAAATTTTACATATATTATTTGAGGGACTATTTTATGATCTTTTGTAAGCAGCCAGACCAATCCGAAGGGCCTAAGCCCCCTGAATATTTTATATATTATTATTATATATTTATTATTATATATTTTAAGACTTTTTGTAACTACTCAGACCATTCCAAAGGGCCTAACCACGCCCAGACACGATAAAAGGTACGCTGTGAGTACGAGAGCAAGGCATGCATGTGAGTGCGAGTGATAGTATTAGATGGCTTTATTAGACAGCTTCATGAAATTTAAGTTGTGTATTTGTCTTTATGGAATTTTTTAATAATGACTTAATAATATTTAAATTCTTGTTATAAAATTAGTTTTAATTAAATTATTCAAAATTTCAAAAAATTTCAAAATGTCAAATATTTTCAAAATTTTCAGGATATCCAAAATTTTGAAAATTTCAATTTTTTTAAATATTTTCCAAAATTTTCATAATTTCCACACTAAACTTGTACCAACCAGGATAAACAATGGCACTTAACGGTGTTAAAATAGCCACCCAAATAATATATATACATAATACAATATTACAGCCTATGATCTTATAAGGTATACTTTTTATCGTGTCTGAGGGGGGTTAAGCCCTTCGTATTAATCTGGCTGCTTATAAAAAGTCCTAAAATAGTCACCCAAATAATTTATATATAAAATTCAGGAGTACCACTATAACGTAGGTTCTCCCCTTTTTCCTTGACCCTTTAAATCGTCTGGGGGGCTTGGGCCCCTCGGATGAGTCTGGCTGCTTATAAAAGGTCTTAAAATAGTCAACAAAATAAAATATGTAAAATTCAGGAGTACTACTATAACGTAGGTTCCCCCCTTTTTTCTTGACCTTTAATGCGTCTGGGGGGGGCTTGGCCCCTCGGATTGGTCTGGCTGCTTACAAAAGGTCTTAAAATAATCACTCAAAAAATATATGTAAAATTCAGGAGTACTACTATAACGTGGGTTCAGCCCTTTTTTCTTGAGCTTTAAAGCGTCTGGCGGAAGTTAGGTCCCCTGGAATGCGTCTGGCAATAATGAATGTTGGTTTTTAATAACAATGTGTAAAACATATATGAAAACCAGCGGTATTACTTTAACGTAGAAAGGTACCTTTTTTATGTACCTTTAGTGCCCGTTATCTGTAAAAGGGCCCCGCTTTCAAGCTAGCAAGTACCCATACGTTTTTAACTACATATTAAGACATTTATTAAAAAAATCTCAGCAGTATTAAAATGACGTAGGTCTGGCAGCTCTGGGATCTTACTCTATAACAAATTACTTTTGAAATAATAAAGTACAATTTTTGATAAAAATCAAATTTACAACCTTATAATAAAAATATCTTTTTGTCTAAACATGTGGATTAGGGATGTAAAATGACGGTCATTTATTTATGTGACACGTGACATGTCATTTTTGTCATTGATTGTCATTTATGGTCATTTTTATTTTCTTATTATTAATGTAAATATAGAAGCATTAGAAAAGTGACAAGTGACTAAAACATTAATAAGCATTTAAACAAAATCAAAAAATTAATTAAAATCCTCGATAAAATCCTAGTAGAATTTAAAGATATCTAACTAATTTTTTTTTCAGACCCACATAACATTTATGACTCATTAAAAAATCATTCAGTGATAATCATCGCGTGAGCTCACAGTGAACTCACTATGACATCAAATGCATTTCTGTGAAATCACCTGGACCTCACCTGGAGCTCATTAGCTGAATCATTGCTGAGCTCATCCTGAGTTCTTTATGAGATCATTTGTGAAATTAATTACTTTTACTCGAATACTTTTTTCTTGTACAGCTCTGCATAGTATATACCATAAGTGTTGCCAAGTTTTGGGAATGGATTTATCTTACCAAGGCTTAAAAATTATCGTATTTTTAAATATATTTTTATAATTAATTTATAAATTATACTTAGCACGTGCTAGGTACATATATACATTAGGGTGTCCCTTATTTTTTATTTTTTCACGCATACCCTCTAATTATATTTATTACGTGTTTATATACTCCCAGTAAAAATTTCAGCTCATTCTATAAACGGGAACCCGTGCCGACTTGGATCTGAACCCTCCGTTAGCCAACGTTAGGCGCGCGGTATTTTGTAACACGGTTGGTCGCGAGGTCTTCGATCGTAAGTCATTTTGTGTTTGTTATTATGTGACCCTTATATTATAAATTATTGACAAATGTTAAAATATAGTTTTATTTATGTGTATACTTTTATAAAAATGTATATTTTCACAGAGAGTGGCTAGTTACCCGGAAGTGAATAGGCCGTAAACTGTGAAATTGATAAACTTAATGGGTTTTACTCTAAATAACTAAAAGAGTCTATTGTGAGAGATGACTACCGAAAACTTATTGAACTGTCTGAAATATTTTTGGGAGTACATCAAGAAAAGAAATGCTTATAAAAAGCTGAAATTTCATATAACAGTATATTTTAGCAATACTAATTAGTATATTAATATATTTAAGGGATAAAATCAACTAAATTTTTTTTGGTTATTTTTTAATGGTCATTCAGATATAATAAAAAAAGAATTTCGGGTAATTAGTTTTACGGCCTATTCACCCGACACTTCCGGGTAGCTGGCCACTTCCAGTAAAAATATTCATTTTTATTAAAGTATACACATAAATAAAACTATATTTTAACATTTTTTAATAATTTATAATATAAGGGTCACATAATAACAAACACAAAATGACTTACGATCGAAGACCTAGCGGCCAGCGTGTTACAAAATACCGCGCGCCTAACGTTGGCTAATGGAGGGTTCAGATGCAAGTCGGCACGGGTTCCCGTTTATAGAATGAGCTGAAATTTTTACTGGGAGTATATAAACAAGTAATAAATATAATTAGAGGGTATGCGTAAAAAAAAATAAAAATAAGAGACACCCTAATATACATCTATAAAAATTAATAATCAGATGCAAGTTACTTTTTTAAATTTTATTAAAAACATGTTTTAAATATTTTTTATTTTATTTAAGAAAATAAATTTTTATTTTAATTAATTTTAGCATTTTTAGTCCCTTAAGTAAAATCATTAATGACATCCCTTTGATTTCATAATGAATTCATCGTGTGACCCATTAAGGATCTCACGTTGCTCATCAAAAGTGCAACACTTATGCGTGCACAGTGACATCACTGAATAAATCAGCAATGATTTCAGGTTGATGTCACAACGAATTCATCGTGTGACTCATTAAGGATATCATGTTGCTCATCAAAAGGGGAACACATATGCGTACCTCAGTGACATCACTGAATGAATCAGCAATGATTTCACGTTGATGTCTTAAATGATGTCATAATTGTTATCTGGGACCTAAATTATTTTACATACCGGAATCGTCCACCACAGCAGTAACGTTGCTGGGATTTTTGTGCGGCACTTCCGGCTTGCCTTTGCAAGGATTCGAAACTTCCGACGGGAAGGATCTCCCGAACTCGTTTTCTGCGATCACCTGGAAACTCTGTTCGACTCCCGGAATCAGAGGCAATTTGACCTGCGTGGAATTACTGGGCACTTCAACGTCAACGTCCAGCCACTTGTCCTTGTTGTACGAGGTGTTGTACTGAATCAAGAAGTTCCTTATGTGTGAGCCGTACTTCGGTTCAAACATGACGGTAACGTCTTTTTCATGGCACTCTGCGAATAGCATCCAAGGTTGTGAAGGAATCTTTAAAGCTTTACCTGAAAATAGGAATATTTAGGATTTTTATGTTTACTAGGGAAACAATTTTCCCTTGAAAATCTCAATTGACCTATTACACAGTTCAACACGAGGGGTAAACCGCTCAGGTAATTTGGTGTACAGGCTTAAGGAAATAATAATAATAATTCATTTATTTGCCCAAGGGAGTAAAACTCCAATAACAGAACAAAAAATATAATTAAAGTTTACATTTCATTTACTAAAAATAAAACTAATACTAAACTACAAAAAAATCAAAAATAAGTCTTTGCCACCCTAATAATATCATTTAAACTAGTAAAAAACAAATCACAGTCATGACTAATACAGTTATAATTTCTTGACATGGTAAACACTGGTGATTTAATTAAGGTTCTTGTGCGTGCACTGTCAGAGTAGAACATATCACTAGATCGAGAATTAGATCTGGGTACATAAATATTAAATAGAAATAAAATGTTGGCCGAATCAATTTGGTTGATAAAAAGCTTAAATAAGAATTTAAGACCGGAACAAGCTCTCCTGCATTGTAGGGAATATACAGAAAATACTGGGTAATACGTTATAATGCAGGCAATACAGGAGTAATTCGGGAAATACTAAGGTAATACAAAGGAAATACTGAGGTAATACGAGGGAAATACAGAGGTGAGAAAAGGGTAATACTGAGTAAATACAAACTAAACGAATATATGGCGTATATTAAACGACAGTCAATTATCACGTCAATTATTGAAACTCCTGAACTAACCTGTGAAACAATGTTTGATGATTCCAGCAAAAGTGCAGGTTGCAGTCAAAAATCCGAGCAAACATCGAAATGGGCAATGGAAAAATATTATAGAAGATAAAGAAGCCGACGCGTTATAGAAAATATTAATGCAAATCAAACCCTAATAACTCAATATTTCGTAATTGCAGAAAAAATATTAGAAGTTATAAGCCAAAAGTCAGAATTCGCACAAACCATTATTAAAAATTTAGAATTTTCTGACGAAGGTAAACAAGACAAGACTTTTTTTTTTAACTCTTAAACATTTCTTTGGAAAATACGAGCGAACCAAAAAACAAAAATAGGTATGACGAGGCCCTAAAATTTGGTGAGTCCTTACCAGCTAATCTAAAAAATTGTTTGCCTCTATATCTACATTAAATAGGTTTATCGATAATAAAAATGTTTAAAGAGAAGAAGGATTTATATATTTCAGTGACCTGTCTAAATTTTTAGACAAAAATAGATTGCCGAAAATTATATGGGTGTCAAAAGACGTTACTCGAATAACAGGAAAGGTGGAATATGACTCCAAAAGCAACAAAATACTTGGATTTGTTTCACCTGATCTGGGTATTGCAAACATTGCGCGTTATTAGTTTAATTAAACTAAACAATTATTAATACTTTAAAATATTAAAATAACTTCAAAATATGATTGTTAAGAAAATATTTTATTCTTAGATTTTTTTATAACTATAATTGCAAAATATTATCACAAAGTATTAAAAATTACACAGGAAATGTTAAAGGTACAAAAAGAGACAGTTGTATTTATTAGAATTCCTGTTAGAATTTCCAACTTGGGAATCTACCGGTGTCAAAATCTCAAATTTTTCTGTGTAAATCAAAATTTATCCATTGAAATTAGACTATCAATCGATATAAAAGCAGTTTTTCGCAGTAAAAGAGAAGAAAATGTTTTATGGGCACTGTACGCAAAATTTTTAAATATTGGCCTCAAGAAACTATTTAATACTTTTGTATTTTTGTATTGAGATAACAAAATAATTTTCAATTTAGTATTATTTTACAAGGCACTTTATTTTAACAATTTTATGACATTTGACAACTGTCAACTAACTTAAAACTAACTTCAGCCCGTGACTAAAATGTGTTGCTAACTTTAGCCCGTGACAAAAGCGCCAAAAAGCCACAAATTGTCAGTGTGTATTTAAAAGGTCACTTGGTGTCACGAAAACATGTACGATAATGGCCGTTTTAAAGGTGAGAGTAGAAACAATTATTTTTAGGTCATAACAATTTATTAAAAGACCGTGGCGAAGAAAAAGCTAATTTGTGCATGTATAATAGACCCTTCAAATTATTATTTAATTTGATTTTTTACTATTTCTAAAAAATCCCGAAGAATCGTTTCCTGACTGATAGTTATAACACCTAAATTATTTTCTCTACGACTACTTAATAGTAACATTCTAGTGTAATTTTTGATCATAAAAAGGATGTTTTTCTGCAATACTGTGCGAGAATATTCCTACTCCTGTTTAAGAATGGTCACAACCCAACCAGCAAAGTAATTTTATAATTTCATCGCACTGCGACTGTTTTATTTTATTCTTATTTTATTATTACTTCCAAAATACAAATTAATTTTATAAGAGAAGTGATGAACTCTATTCTGTTGTTAAAAATGAAATGTTTTATAAATTTATCGTAAAAACGTTTCTATGAGCAACACAATAAAACTAATACAAAAGTCAAACCTATAAAATAAAATTGTTTTATAATTGTTTTTAGTAAATTTCGGCAACATTATTAAGACTTATAAATATATTATAAAACTATTTTATAGTCGCGTTTTATAGCTTTAATAAAACAATTATATTAAAGTATCAATGAGAACTATTTCGTTTCTTCAAGTAAATTGTTTCTTTAGTAATCAATATAAAACTGCTTTATATTATGTTATTTGGGTTACAATATAAAAGCAATAACAAAGTTCTTATAAAACTAAATAGCTAATATCAAAATGATAACTAGTTATCATTTTGATATCGCTAATTACAATAAAACAAATTTATGTTGAATTAGCTGATGTGGAGTACATAATTTTCATTAGTTCAGTGTGTTCAATGTTTCATAAATAAAAATGTCGCAATTATCGCAGTAAAAAAAAATAAGAAAAGTGGCGCCTTCCGCAGAAGATTAAAAAGATGTTACGAAAAAATTATCAGTAGTGATAATAAGGATATCAGTTTCGACAATGATAAAACGGATCATTTAAACATAAAGCAGCAATCTACCAATTTTAACAACAGAGCTTCAGACCTCACAAGTGTCAGTACTAGTAACATTTTACTGTTTTATTAGAGTCGCCAAAAAGTCGCGAGTTAGCAAAAAAGTTGCCAGTTAGCAATATAGGCACTTTTATTTGCTCGGCAATGACCGTATAAAAATCGCCTGTGGTATTAAAATGTATGAATGGCAACAAATATGTTTTATTAGAGTTGCCAAAAAGTGTCAGTACTAATAACATTTTATTGTTTTATTAGAGTCGCCAAAAAGTCCCGAGTTCGCAAAAAAGTAGCCAGTTAGCAATATAGGCACTCTTATTTGCACCGCAATGATTGTATAAAAGTGGCGTGTGGTGTTTAAATGTATCAATGGCAACAAATATGTTTTATTAGAGTCGCTAAAAAGTCGCGAGGTAGCAAAAAAGTTGCCATTTAGCAATATAGGCTCTCTTATTACTATAAACAAGACACAGTTTTTTTCACCATGTTTCGGTTTTTTGAAATATTTTGGGAACAGGGCGGTATTATAACGTTTTTCGAATTTTTAAAAATAATTTTATTCTCGCTTATATAGCTATAAAGTATTGTATTATAATAACACAGTGCAAAAGGGAATGGTTTGAAACCAAAAGCAAATGAAATTTAATAGCTTCTACAACAAAACCCTGTCAGGGTTTTTTTGGATCACGCCTCAGTTGTTTATCATACATATTTAGAGTTGGTACCAAAAAATTATGTATAAATTTTATAAATACATGTTAATTTTTCCATTTTTGATGTTAATTTTTACCTAAGACCTACAGTAGAGGAGGGCGCGCACTCGCGGTGTCATACAATTTTTGCTATAGAAAGTATACTTTTTACGTATTTTTATTGTTAAATTTTTTTTTTCTATTTTTGATCAAATCGTAACCTCTTTTATAAAAAAGCTATAGCAAGAAAAGTAAATTCGGGAGTTAATTATAACTACTCTACAGGGTGAATTACATAAGTATATGTTCAAACTTCATCAGGCTAATTCTTTAGATGATTTTAAGATGAAAAATCAATGTAAACATGGGTTAGGATTCCTAAGATTCCTAACTTAGGAAATGTGCTTAGTTTTCAAGATACAGAGGGTGTTAAAAAAATTTTTCTATCTTAAATATATCTTGAATATCCTTTACTCAATTTTGATGAAATTTGTCGGCGTTATTTGTTTAGTAAAGGGCTAATTTATTGTTGAGCACTTTCGTTGATATAATATAATATATCTTGAATATCCTTTACTCAATTTTGATGAAATTTGTCGGCGTTATTTGTTTAGTAAAGGGCTAATTTATTGTTGAGCACTTTCGTTGATATAAAGTTTAGCGGAAGTTAAGTGGTACTTTATGTCAAGATAAAGTACCACTTTACCTCTTGAAGCTTCTTTTTTTACCTCTTAAAACTTTTTTCATGTTTTTTTAAATGTTTTTCTGGTCCACCCAATATTTTTTGCCTATTTTTGAAGCCCTTAAACAGAAAAAAGTTTGAGAGTATTTTAAAAATTAATAATTTTCTAAAAATATTCGATTGCGAAAAGAAATTTCATAAACTCCGACCCTGTGACAATATGTATCATTAGCCTACACAAAATATTTTATAAAGATTGCCTAGTAATTTAAATTGTTTTATAATGGTTGCGCCTAAAAGTAAATTATTTTATAGAAAAACGCCATTTTAAAATGGGTGTACCCCAAGGAATCGAAATAAGTTGAATTTAAAATACTAAATATCACACGTATAATGACACTTGCAGTAGGTAAAATACATAAAAATTATTATTAGTTACCTCTACAACCAATCGGTTTAAGTTTTTCTGTATAAAATTATCATAGCGAGGAAGCTAGTTTTTTTGTTATTTAAAAAAAATTCCTAAAACACTTGAAAATACGGGGCGCACTTAAATTTTGTTAGAAATATGCTATATATTTCTCAATAAAATTTCCCTGGTATCAAAAATGTCTATCCCTGTAGCACAAATAAAGTTTCCAAATAATAGATATAGTGTTTAAGGTAATATTAAAATGGCTTCTTTGCTAATGGCCTCAGCCTCAATTGCAGCATTCAGAACATCTTTAAAAAACATTTTTATTTTGTTACTGTAATTCCAATATGCATTTTTATTTTATATTGTTTTCATGAAGCTATTATAAAATTGTATAGTTGTTTTATAGAAATGTTTATACTTTTGTAAAGTATATTTTATAGCGCAGTATAAAAAGCTTTAACAAAACTGTTTTATAATGCTTTTGTAAAGTTTTTCTAAGACTTGCCGAAATGTTTATAAAATAATTTTATTATGTTTCCAAAAGCTTTTACAAAATACTAACCAAAACTGAAATGTTTTATAAAGTGGTGCCAATTTTACATTTATAGCTATCTTATAAACATTTTAAAAACGTTTCTGAGAGTAATGTTTGTTTTATAATTTTTGTGTAGGAAGCGTTTTGGCAAGTATTATAAAATATAAAAATGCTAGTTGGGAAGTAACGACATCTCCTGGCTGTTTACTAAACGTAAAAAATTTAAAAATATTTAAATACTACTGTATTATTTATTAATTAAAAAATAATAGCAGTTTTATAATTAAGGTTTAGGCACAAAAAAATAGTTATATTTATTGTTTTTCAAATATACAAATCAAAATTATAATAAATTTGATATTAAAATGATAAACCAGTTACCTACTATACCGGCTTTGAAGTTTTGACAGATTCAAAAAGTTTAAAAAAAGACCTTGTAAATGTAGAAAAAGAATAGATGTTGACATAGATTAGTTGTAAAATTAGTTTTGTATTTGTTACAATGTTATTTTTTTATTAGTTAGTGTAAATAACTATTTTTAATTATAATAAAGATTTAGGCATACCATTTGTTTAAATTTATTATAATTTACATTATAAAATTGTGACGACACAAAATGGTTTGACCATACAAAAAACTTAAATGTCAAAAACTGCTTGGTTTCTTTTCTCTGTTTAAAAAGCGTTACTATTCTTACGTAGTCGTAGAGAAAATAATGTCTGAAACACGTTTGGAATAGCATATTCCACTCTCGTAAAACCGTCACACTCGCCTTCGGCTCGTGTGTCAAATTTTTCCTCGAGCGGAATATGCTGTATTCCAAACTTGTTACAGAATGTACTATTGCATACCGGAATCGTCCACCACAGCAGTAACGTTGCTTGGATTTTTGTGCGGCACTTCCTGCTTGCCTTCGCAAGGATTCGAAACTTCCGACGGGAAGGATCTCCCGAACTCGTTTTCGGCGATCACCCGGAAACTCTGAAAGACTCCCGGAATCAGACGCACTTTGACCTGCGTGGAGTTACTGGGCACTTCAACGTCAATGTCCAGCCACTCGTCCTTGTCGTACGTGGTGTTGTACTGAATCACGAAGTTCCTAATGTGTGAGCCGCTCTTCGCTTGAAACATGATGGTAACGTCTTTTTCATGGCACTCTGCGAATAGCATCACAGGTTGTGAAGGAGTCTTTAAAGCTAAGGCTTTACCTGAAAATAGGAAAAATTTAGGATTTTTATGTTTACTAGGGAAAAAATTTTCCCTTGAGAATCTCAATTGACCTATTACACAGTTTAACACGATTTTCCTCAGATAAAAATTTTAACAGATTTTAAAAAGAAAGGTTAAAAAACGTACCCGTGTCTCACTGTTTCACGAAATCACGTCATTTAAATTTTTTATACAGCCATTATTTTAACCTATAGGTACAGATTTGAAATTCTCTATTTTGCTATAAATCATTTTTTTTTGTCAATATTTAATATTGTATGTTTTTACATAATACAAAAATTATACATAAAATAAATAATAATTTTATATTTTTGAATCTATAGTGGCATCACAACCTAAAAAAACACTTAATGTACTATGCTCCACACCTCAAAGTCCCACCACGTGACCACGTACGGAACACAGTCTTTTGAAAATTTGGCATTTAACACGTTCGCTGCGTTACGGGGTTGATACGAATAATTTATTTTTTTTAATAAAAAAAAAATTCTGTTTTTAATTTTTGATTTTTTTTAATAAAACAGATTTGTATTTATCTTATATTCAAAATAATAAAAAAACTCGAAATAGTTTTTTTCTTGCTCTCCACCCAAAATATCGTAGAATATGTCCGAACAAATATTCTGTTAAAAGCGGAGCTCATAATTTCAATTTTAAGAGGTCCCTCATCGAATCTGAAGTTTTGCCGCTTAAATAGCACAGAAAACTGACCTTTTTACCTTATTTATTCTTGCAACCTATGAAGAAATTTTTTTTTCATAAAATCCATGACCAAATCTTACAAAGCATTAAACTTGGATGAAAAAATCTTATTAAGCCGAATTTCTATTTTCATTATTTGATTTATTACAGAGCTTTAAATTTAAAATTTTACGTTTTTTGCCTTTTTCAGCTAAACTATTGAAGTTAGACGAAAAAGTCAAATGGCAATTTTTTAGCTTGTCTGATGGACCACAAAAAAGTTTTAGGCGAATTTTTTATATCGTCAATATTCTAAAAGTTACAGGCGTATAAAGTCATCATTTTTGTATTATTAACTTTAAATTTAAAGCTAAAAAATTAAATAATGAAAATAGAAATTCGACTTAATAAGATTTTTTTCTCCAAATTTATTGTTTGTAAGAATTAGTCATGGATTTTTTGAAAAAAAAAAATCTTCCTATAGGTTGCAAGAATAAATAAGGTAAAAAAGTCAGTTTTCTGTGTTATTTAAGCGGCAAAACTTCAGATTCGATGAGGGACCTCTTAAAATTGAAATTATGAGCTCCGCTTTTAACAGAATATTTGTTCGGACATATTCTACGATATTTTGGGTGGAGAGCAAGAAAAAAAAAATATCGAGTTTTTTGGCACACCCTAATATATATATATATATATATATATATACAGTATGTCTCAGTATCTTGGAATCATATGGAAAACATTTTTATTATTAATTTTAGGAAAAAAAGTTATTCTTCATAAAAAGTTCTGCATGGTGTAAAACTTAAAATGCAACCCACAAATATTATTTTTTTTTAGTCGTATACGGGGTATGTCAAAAAATATGAATTTGGCTCAAGAGTAAAGTATACTTTATAGGTATACCTTTATATTTGACAATATCGAAAATTGTTATAAAGAAAAGTTAATCAGAACTTAAAAGTACGTTCAAATATGCAATTACATCCATTTACATTAAAAAAAAAATATTTTTTCTTTTTTGTCTACAATATCAATGCAAATTTAACTGTAACATGTAATCTAGGATTCACTGATAAACAAATGATTTGTTGATATTCTAAAACTTTTTGGCCTGCTAGATCCCCTGACTTAACTTAAGGTTTTCATGTTTTTTCTAATCATAACAGATAAATGTTCATTTAAAATAGAAAGATTAGTAAAAATTAACAAAACCTAATTTTTTAATGTAAATGTATGAAATTGCATATTTAAACGTAGTTTTTAGTTCTGATTAACTTTTCTTTATAACAATTTTTGATATCGTCAAATATAAAGGTACTTTACTCTTGCGCCAAATTCATATTTTTTGACATACCTCGTATACGACTAAAAAAAATTAATATTTGTGGGTTGCATTTTAAGTTTTACACCATGCAGAACTTTTTATGAAAAATAACTTTTTTTCCTAAAATTAATAATAAAAAAGTTTTCCATATGATTCCAAGATACTGAGACATACTGTATATATATATATTAGGGTGGTCCAAAAAAAAAAGAATATTTTTTTACTCGTCTCTTGTGAAAATATGTTGGTTTGTCATGTTTTAAGAGCCATGTAAAAAGATCAGCTCCATTAAAAAATTTTTAGGGGTCGCTCAAGATTTTTAAAAATTTCCAAAATCGTAAAAAATTCGATTTTTTTTTTTATTTTAATTTTTTTTTCTCGTTCCGATATTATTTTTTAATTTAAAAATAATAGTGATTCTGAAAATTTCAAATGGATACTTTGATTTCTAAAGGTCGCTCAAGATTTTTTTGACTTTTAAAGTAGAGTATTTTGAATGTTTTCGAGCGACCTGAATATAAATATCAACGAACTTTTAGCGACCTTTGGAAATCAAAATATTGATTTGAAATTCACAGATTTTCAACCAAAAAAATAATATCGAGACGAGAAAAAAAATTAAAATAAAACAAAAATTCAATTTTTGACGATTTTGAACATTTTTAAAAACCTTGAGCGACCCCTAAAAAATTTTGAATTGAACTGATATTTTGACAGGGCTCTTATTCTTTTTTTCTTGTGCCACCCTAATATACACTCACAGGCAAAATAATCGATCCACACAAATTTTCGATGAATTTCAATCGAAAATAACTTTTTTTTATGTCGGATTTAAACGAATATTAAAGAATATTGTTGATAAATTAATTAAAAATTAAAAATTACTAAAAAATAGATGTGCTTTTATAATATACAGGTTTAAACAAAAAGAAGTTTTTTATTATAAGTTTAAGACACTTGGCTAAATCGTATATTGTTCTAAATTAAGTTTTAACCCTCGAGCGGGCGCGTTGGTGCAAATGTGCTACCAATAATACTTAATAAGGGCTTGGGGCATGAACAAGTGTTTTATTTGTTTTATAGCTCTTAGTATCTTCCTAGATATTGATGACGAAGGGTTAGTTAAGTTTGTTTAGTTTAAATTTTATTAGCGGTTTAAACTTAATTGGAGCAATTTTGCTACCACGCGCCTAATGATGTAAGTATATTTTTAGTTGATTCTTTTTTAATTGTGATATTTTTTCTGTTGTTACTAGTTTTATATTGCTAAAAAATATCATTTACCAGTTTCTGTATAATAATAATAATATTATTATTATTTGCATTCCTAATACAAGTATATCGAGTATATACTATATACTATACTATACCTATAGGTAACTGTAATTATTATTATTATTAGCTTTCCAAAAATTTGTATTTTATTCTATTTACTTTATTTTAGGGCAAAAGGTCTAAAATTCCGTTTTACCTTCATATATTCAATTATTTTTAAAGGGTTACAAACATGTAGAAGAAATACAAAAACAAGATGAAAGAAGAAAAACGCGGCGACGTTGTACTATATGTGGACGTCAGAAATATAAATTTACGTCACTATTTTGTGACAAATGTGATAATTTTGTTTGTCAAGAGCACAGTAAAAGTACAATTTCGTGTTACAAATTTAAAACAAATTTAGTTTAAAATGATGAAGATGACTAACTTTTTATTTTTGTAAAATATAAATATATTATATAAATGTTTATTAGAAATAATATTTAAATGTTTAATAAACATATAAAACTAATTATTTAAACTTTATTTATAGTATTTACTGCTAAAACACTATTAAAGCTGTTTTAAAACTATAATTTACAGCTGGTAGCATATTAGCACCACGCGCCCACTCATGAAATATTATAGGACGCGACTGCTCTAGGGTTAATTATCAAGTCACATCTATTCTTAACAGTTTTGTTTTTGGTTCACCACGATATAATTATTTTTGTGGAAAAATGGATTTTTTTTTAAAACATTGCAATTTCCAATATTTTTTCTGCGCAAAGAACTAAGGTTGCTACGGTCCTTCCATAGGCTATGGAGGATGACAGAGGCAGTTTTGTTGAATCATGACATGTTATATATAATAGGCTATGGAGGATGACAGTGGCAGTTTTGTTGAATCATGACATGTAATATACGGCTTTCAAAAGCTATCAAATTGTTTTTTGCAAATTAATGTTTAACTTTTAAGGTGTCTTCTTACTTTTAAAAATGGATATGTCTCCTACTGATGTTGCCAGAGCCATTGATTTAATTCAGGATGGACGGTCACAGTATTATGTGGCAAGTATTTTAAACGTCACAAAAAGTACAAAAGGCAACATCAGTCGGAGACATATACATTTTTAAAAGTAAGAAGTCACCTTAAAATTAACACATTAATTTTGAAAAAGCAATTTTATAGCTTTTAAAGGCCGTATATGACATGCCAAGTATGGGATGATTCAACAAAACTGTCACTGTCATCCTCCATAGGCTATGGATGGACCATAGCAACCTTAATTCTTCATGCAGAAAAAATATTGGAAATTGCAATGTTTTTTTTTAATCCATATTTTCCACATAAATAAATATATCAAGGTGAACCAAAAACAAAACTGTTAAAATAGATGTTTTTATTAATCAGTCTAAAGTGGTGCGATATGGATGATGCCATAGCAGCCTATTAGCAGGTTTTTACAACGTATTTTATTATTTTTAGCTTTGGTAGACTTAGTTTTATTATAAAAAAACGCGTTAGTTTTTAAAATACTTTCGGGTGCGACCCGGTTTTTATTTAAATATTATTGCACCAAAAAAGGACTAAACTAAATGAGTCATTCCAAATAAAAACACCAAATGGGGTGCGCTGCGTGATTTTTTATTTTGATGAAAAAATTTGAGGATGATCTTTTAGGTGTCAAATATGAAAATCCGTTGCCGTTTTAATTTTTTGTTGCTTTACTTTTATTTGGCACCCCTTAGAAGTCTGAAATAGTGTCAATTTCTTACTCTCTTATAGTGGGCCAGAACTTTTTTCTGTGACAAATATTGAAATAATTTTAATTTTGTTTTACTGTCCAGTAAGTGTGTTTTCGATATAAATTATTATTATCCAATTAGTTAATCTAATAAAAGAATGGTAAACCACTAAAGATTCATGATAATTTGCCAATTTTTGTGATTTTTGTCTGGCTCCTGTGCCTATTCTACTGAATTTAGAAGGTTCATTTTTTTCAGGTATAAAGTACTTATACAATAGAAAACGTAACTATTATTTTAAGTTTCTAGACTATCAATTTCTTTATTAAAAAAATTATTGAAAATTGATCATTCTCAAAATTAGCCAATTTTGCCCTCAGAAATCATTATGTTGAGGAAAAAATAAAAATCTTAAACTTTCAGGAAATGTAGTCCCCACCTTCATCTTTTCAGTCCAGTTAGTCTTGTTTTGTTATTTTTATTCCTTTAAAAGATATATTAATTTTTTTAATGGCCGTTTAGTAGCGATATTGTTAGTTTTATTTATAATTTAAAATTTAGATGGCTTTCATGTTTGGTGGAGAAGTGTCAGAACTGTCAAAAATATTTCATAAATATTATTTGTGCGTATTTCTTTGGTAAATTTTGTATATAACATAATATGTCATATTATGTTATAATATATTATATAAAACTTTTTAAAATCACCAAAGGAATACCACAAATAATAATTATGAAATATTTTTGACAGTTCTGATATTTTTGGTAGTTACTTATGTTATATTTTATGTATTGAAAAATCATATATATATATGATTATATATTATATACAATGTATATATACATATGTATGTATACATTATAATGAAGTATTTAATTGGCTAATTGGTGTTTAAAGAAGAAGAATGTAAAAAATATATTCAAGATCCTTATGGTTTATATCGTTAAGTATAATAAGTGAAATTAATAAAGAGTTAATTTAAACGTATAAAAAATGCGTTAAGCAGTTTTTTGTCGGTTTCTTTCACAATTTAAACCAAGTTAGTCTTGTTCTATTATTTTGATCCCTTTAGTAAGGCACTAAATAAAATTCTTTTATGAGATTAACTAATTGGATAATAATAATTTATATCGAAAACACACTTACTGGACAGTAAAACAAAATTAAAATTATTTCAATATTTGTCACAGAAAAAAAGTTCTGGCCCACTATAAGAGAGTAAGAAATTGACACTATTTCAGACTTCCAAATAAAAGTAAAGCAACAAAAAACTAAAACGGCAACTGATTTTCATATTTGACACCTAAAAGATCATCCTCAATTTTTTTCATTACAATAAAAAATCATGCAGCGCACTTTTAAATTCATTTTTGGTGTTTTCATTTGGATTGACTCAAATATAATACTTTTTGATTAATTTAATTGATTTTTTTAAATTTATATATCCGCTAAAAGTTTAAAATAATTAATTAATTTTTTTTAATCTAAATTTTCAATCAATATATGTAGGTATACGTTTTTTTTCTACAAAATATTATACACGGTGTTTTTTACTGCGTACTGGCGATTTAAAAATATATTTTTTATTAAAACATTATATTTTTACATTCTCATAGGTTTTAAGAACTGTTCTACACAAAGCTGCATATAATATAATACAAAAATTCCTTTGAGCAGTGGCGGCCCATCAGGGGAGGCAGGTGAGGCAGTGCCTCATCATAGAGAATTAAAAAATTAGGTATAATTTAAATATTTTACTTTCTATAATATACTTTAAATTTTTAATATTTGGATTACATGAATTGTGAAATAGTCAATAAAATTGATTGATTTTATACGTGGAATACCTAGCAACATTTAAATTATTTGAATTTGAAACGACCGCAATTTAAACAAATATTTATAGCTAGGTGATTGGCTCAGAAGCATGCCTGAACTAATTTAGACTCACGATTGGCGTTAGCCTTGTTGTCTCCTTCTATTACAATGCAATATCATAGTTGTCTCCTTCTCTCGTATTAGCATACGCGAGGTAGGCACGCCTACATCCAAGGAAATAAGCAGGTGTTGTGGCAACACTGTTGCGGAATTTTAGATAAATTATACTTCACACATTTTTCAAAATTCAATAATAAATGGTATTATTTTTATTATAATAAATCGATTTAATCGAAATTATATTTCTATTCTAAAATAAACATATTTTAACACTATCGCCATCTTGTAGCCATCACAGTAACCAATAGGAATGCACCGGAATTCCGGCGGTACCACTAAATCCGGCCGATCCGGCCAGTTGGCCGGAACTACCGTTCCGGCCGGATCGCTCCGGCCGGATCGCTTTCCGGCCGGAATTTTCGGAACTTTTTGGAAATGTTTAAGTTTTAAATTTTTAATATAATTTAAATTCAAATATATGCAAAAATTAAGAAAATTATTTAAAGTTTTTTTTTAGTTGGTAATCACAAATAATTTTTTTTTTAACAAAATATATTTAGTATCATGCCTGCAACCCTGTGCCTTTGCTTATGATTAGCAGGCGTCTGGGTTTTCCCGACTTTCGCGTCTGTGATTCCCCGACGTTCGCGTCTGGGATGCCCCGACTTTCGACCAGATATATTTTGTGATTGGTCAACAGTGAAGGGTGTGCGTGTTTCCTTGCCTATGATAGACCGGCGGCTGTGGTTCCCCGACTTCTTTTTAATTTTTTTAATATTAGCAGGTGGCTGCTATTCTCCAATTGAATGAGTAGAATTGTTTTAAATTTGTTAACGCTAATTAAAAATTAATATTTCAATAAACAGTAATTTCTATCTAGGTAAAATTAATAGTAATAAACACTCTGCATACTGTAGCTAGTTTAAAAAAAAAAGTAAAAATAAATAAGCCTCAATATTTTCAATGTTTTACGTATAAAAATAGGCATGCACATACATTTTAAATTTAGGTCCCGATCCGGCCGGAATTCCGGCGATCCGGTCCGGCCAGCGGCCGAAATTCCGGTTCCGGCCGGATCGGCAAAATACCCGATCCGGTGCAATAAAATAAATACAGATTCCTTCTTTAGGTTTGTTTTGGTTATAAAATTCTGAACTGTTTAAAGAACAAATCTGTGGTTATTTACGCAATATTTTGTTTATTCTTTTTCTATGAGTTTGTCTATTTTATAATTCTTTTGTAAGTGGTTTATTCTGTTGGTTTAGTTAATTGAACTTGGTGATTTATGTGAATTTAGTCATTATGGATTTACGAATGTCTCTTCAGTATAAGCGGGTTTAAATAGGTATAACAGTTTTATAGGTTTTTTACGAGGTTTTTTATTTTAATTTAGGAGTTTTGTGTGAATTTGTAAGATTTCTATTTAATTTTGAAGAAAACAGATTCATTTAGAAACATGTTTATTTATTTATATATTTATTTTTTTATTTATATAAGAGTTATATTTATTTTGTTGGTTATTTATAAGAGTAATATTTATTTTTTTGGTTATTTATAAGAGTTATATTTATTTTGTTGATTGTTTCGCACTGTTCCCATTTTTATAAGGAGAATTTACTTTTAGTTTTTAGTTATACGCAACTCATTTATCTTTTTTTTCTCTCCAGTTCCCCTTACTTCCCTTCAGTTCCGCTTCCCAGTTTCCCGGGAAGATGGTGTACTATTATTAATTTAATGATTAGGGCTTAAACTTAATGGTTATATTAATAATGCTGCACTTTACCTCTACACCTTCACGTGGTTCTTGCTGAACAATGAAATATTAATTAGACAAAAATGAGGTTTATTTAAAATGAGGGCGAAACCCTGCCTCTGCCTCACCAAAATGAAATGTCTCGGGCCCCACTGCCTTTGAGCATTAACACAGTTCAAAGACGTATTAATAAAATTAGTTATGATATTAAAAACTTCTTGTGTAATTACCTTTACACAACCCATTTCTCTACACAACTGGACGAGTCAACCTTACCTAGTAATGAAGCATTATTATTGGCATATGTTCTTTTTTTTATGGATTAAAAAATCTATGAAGAACTGCTCAAACTCTTCAATTTCTTATTAACGCAGTAAACAAAATTCGAGGCAACGCATTGAATACTAGGTGATTTGCTCAGTTGTGTGAAGAAAATGACGAAAACTTTCATCGATTGCTTCTTCACACTAAAGTGCGCTGGCTGTCAAAAGGCTTATGTTTAACGAGGTTTTTTTCGCTTTTTGATAAAGTTTTAGATTTTTTGGAAGCTATAAAGATCCAATTTTAAAAGAAAATTTAATGAAGTGGAAACC